TCTGCTTTTATGAAGATTACAACGTTGGAAACCCTATGGGGTAGTTCAGCTTTGTTCTACAAGGCCACTTACAAGTCAGAATTAACTCAATGGCAATGGCGTTGGTTTTATGGGTTGTGGTGCAGTGAATTACTTAATATGGCTCTCCAGCCATGGTCTTTGTAGCATCCACCAGATGACTGGCGGAACTACGTAAATGTAAGGTGCTTGTGGCCCATCAAGGGGCATGGATAGCTTGTTAGTAATGGGAGTGGATAGCTTGTTAGTAATGGGAGTGGGACCATGGAAATAGGGTATATGGAACCCTAATGTGAGGATTGATCAGTTTTGCCCTCTTGCTAGGCTCAAAACATACCCTCCAGAGGCCTAAGTGGAATCTTACTGCCATCAAGATATAAGAGCCAGTGGTGGAATGGAGCATGTCCTTTGAACCAAGAGATCCCTGCATTGGACCACTTGGCAAAGAGACTGACAGAAAGATGGTGGCAGCAGAACCAAGAAACTAGCATGAGACGGGGCAGGTTTGCAGGCCCAGGAAGCAAGAAAGCTGAGTGCCTTTGGGCAAGAGGCATGCTGACAGAGTAGGGAGTACCTATGTTTACCTATCAACAGAGCTAAAAGAGATTATTAACATTTGCCTGAGCCAGGGCTGAGGCCAGGCTAAGAGACCAAGGGCTGAAGAGACCTATGCCTGTGGGCACAGCAGTGGAGAGACTGACCTGATCAAAGAATTGTACCCTGAGCGCGTTCTTGAACCTGAATTGTAACCTGTTACTTCCCTAATAAACCCCATAATCATTAGTATTGTCTATGAGTTCTGTGTGGCCACTGCTGCAAATTATCGAACCCAGCAGAATAGTAAGTTCCAAGGGAGAGATGGTTGGTATCAGAATTGGTAAAAAGGCTGTAGGGTGGCAGCATGTCTGGCCTCAAAGGAACTAGTCTTGGGCTGCTGATGGTGATTTTCTCTCCCCTTCTTGAAGTTAGAGAAGGTCAGAGGAAGACGCCGCCTCAATATCCTTTTAGCATGTATTTTGGTGTGAAATCATGTACCAAAAAAATGTCAATTTCAGCACTGCTTATAATAGCAAAATACTAAGAATATCCATAAAAAGAGTGGTTAAATATACTATGGTACACTCATACAGTGGAACACTGTGGAGAAACAGCATATGTGTGGCTATGCGTGCCTAAGCATGTCTACTGTTGTCTATGCATGTCTATTGTGCAACTAGCTTCAGAACATTATTAAGAAAAGAAAAAGCAAGGGAGCTCTGGTAGCATAGTGGCTAAGACACTTGCCTGCTAACCAGATGGCTGGTGGTTCAAACCCACCAGCCACTCCTCGGAAGGAAGGTTGGGCAATCCTACTTCCGTAGTGATACTGCCTCGGAAACCCAAGGAGGGGTCGCTATGAGTCAGGGCTGACTCAAGGGCACATAACAACAACAACAACAACAGGACAGTGTACACAGTATACAATGAGAAGGAGGTTTATTTTGGATAATTTAAGAATAATTTTAAAATACCTGGTGGTATCTTCTTAGCAGTGCCCTTTTTGCTTCTTGTACTTCTTTTTCCAGATATTTTTTTGTCCTTTCCCAAGGACTGTCCACCTTTGGGGCCTTCACCAGGAATGTTTTCTGAGTTCTCACTTGCAGCCACCTCACAGAGGGATGTGCAGCTTTCATTATTGTTGAGACTGTCCTGTTCAAATGCTTCAGGTTTTCCCATTGCACTGTCACTGCCAGTCAGACATTCACATTCATCCCCATCAAGTTGATTTTCATTTTCATCTGACACAGAAGACAAGCGTGTTACTGTACTTTCCACACTGTCACCAGGATGACACCCATCTTGTGGCTCTATCTCCAGGTTATATGTAGGAGTTTCGCTGTCATCCATTAGAGCATCCTTTGTTGAACCATTCAAGTTTCATTAAAGTCCTTCCATCTCTACAATGACATAAAGAAAAAAGTTACTTCATTTTCTAAATTCTGTGGAATCTTGGTGATCTTTGATTTTCTGGTGATCTTTGATTTTCCTCTTCTCTTGCATTGTTGTGGGGAAGAGAAGGAAATGACTGAAGGTCATTCCTACTCACCTATTCTAACTTGCAATCCTACTCCAACCTAACCTGATTCTCTCTTTAATATAATGGTTCTCAACTCTGGCTGCCTGTTGGAATCACCTATGATGCCTGCTCAAATTCTTCCCTAAACCAATTAAGTAAGAATTTCTGGGGACCTCACTCAAGCATTGATGTATATACACAAATATATTTAAATTCTCCAAGTGATTCTAACGTGCTTCCAGGTTGAGAAAAGTGACACAACGAATGAAATTACTGGTTAAATGAGGTTATCTGTTAAAATCAATCATTCAAGTTATCACTGGGCACTTTTATCAGACAAGTGAAAACTAGTTGTATAAGTCTTCCTGTGACCTTACAGCAGTAACAAGTGCAAAGGATAATATATAAAATTTTATTTATTTTTTTAAAAAGACATGGGTGAATTCAGGTACTATACTTTATTCTCATTATGTCTTTCACTTTTGAAACATAAGTCCTGTAAAGTACTTTAGAATTGTCAGCAAATTCCTCTTACATAGTTAAAAAAGTGACTTCCTCATCCCCAAAGACCTATACATAACATACTCCTTAAAGCATACTGTAACACTTACAGAGTCCTCCCTAAGTTCTGCTCAGCATTCTATATTTTTGCATATGTGTCTAACTAGATTTAAGCCTTTTGAATACCTAAAACCAACTCACAGGATCTTATATTTGAAAGATACATGAAGGACTTGTTGTGTGCCAGCGAGGTGATCTGCTACCTTAAAGATTATAGCCAGGAACCCATATGGGGCAATTCTACTCTGTCATATAAGGTTACCATGAGCTGGAATTATAGGGAATTCATTTTCTACAGTTTATCTCTGAAAAAGAGAAATCAGGGACATGAATTTCAATTCACTCCCCTGTCCCTACTCTGAGAGGCACAGGGGTCTAATACACAATATTTCTGTCTGCATTACTACCATACTTAAGTTGGGTGGCATACCTTAATTTAAGCAATAGGGTAATTTTCTTAATGGGATTTCTAATCAGTATAGCCCTACAGCTTTTGGAAACAGTTATAAACAGTACTATTTTTGTTTTTTCCTTTTCTTTCCTCTCCTCCAATGCCACACCAACAGCATTTCAATAGGTTGATCTGCAGTACACACTATATCTCACCTCAAGAGGGCTCCTGAGTAAGAAAAAATCACAGAGAGAAAGAGGCCCAGTTGGCATACATTATTTTAAAGATACATATTAACACTGCATGGGATCTGGGAGTTAGAGGTACAGTTGGCGCAATCACATTGATCTGAACTGTACATCTATCCTATAAGAGCCTATACCAATTTGTCACAAGAGAAACAGCACCACAATGCAATCACTGCTTAAAGTACTAATTCTGGCTTATTTTGCCTTTTAAAAGTCTGACAGTCAGTGCTGTCCAAGTTTTCAGCCCCTTGTGACAAAATAGCATTCCAAATATGTACATCGTATAAAAGTTATTTGGCATGTTGACTGCACAGCTGAAGAATTGCAAGCAAACATATCCAAGTGAAGTTTATACAAAACTTGAAAAACCACAAAATTTTGAGGAAGAGGCTTTAAATAAACAACTAAGTCAGAGTAGGGATCTCTGGTAGCATAGTGGCTAAGGCACTTGACTGCTCACCAGAAGGCTGGCGGTTCAAACCCACCAGCCACTCCTCGGAATGAAAGTTGGGCAATCCTACTTCCGTAGTGATACTGCCTCCCCAAGGAGGGGTTGCTATGAGTCGGGGCCAACTCGACAGCAAACAACAACAAAGTCAGAGTAACAGACTAACAATAATAAATCTACATTTTACCAAAAACCTAATCTCAATCTCAGGAATGACTTTACTTTTTGATAGATTACAATGGCTATCTAATGAGATTAAACATCACAGGTTACTAAAATTAAACAAATTAACTTATGTTGTTGTTATGTGCCATCAAGTTGGACCCGACTCATAGCAACCCCTCTTTGGGTTTCTGAAGCAGTATCACTGCAGAAGTAGATTGCCCCATCTTCCTTCTGAGGAGTGGCTGATGGGTTTGAACTGCCAGCCTTCTGGTTAGCAGCCAAGTGCCTTAGGCACTATGCTACCAGAGCTCCTAATTAACTTATAGGAATGATTAAAGATAAGATGTTACTTAATTATTATATTTAAAGTTTTAAGGTAATTGTGAGTACCATTTTTTCTGTAACCCATATACTTTTACTTATGAAAGATGCCAAGATTCTTCTTAAGAATTAAGATTAAACCCCAAGTTTACATTTGGTGACTTGTAAGAAAGACCAAATTTTAAAGGAACACAATTACCAAACCAATAAAGTATTCTATGACCCTCAAATTCAAATTCTGCTATTCATACTCAGCTCAAAATTGAGGAAGAAAGTCAAAAAACCCCTGTTATTCTGTTTATTATGGTAACTTTGCAGCACTATTTTACTCAGTACAAATGCTCCAATATCACTTCTATCTTATTACTAAATCTTTTGTTTTTTTGTGATTAATGCTATCTTTGTTGAGACATATGTATCTGCAGACAATATTCAATACTGGTAGTCCCTGACTTACAACATATTTGAGTTACGATGAGCTGCACTTACTTAAAAAAAGAGGTACCTCAAAACTGATTTACAATGATGTCATTGGAAAGGACTCCTGTCATAAGTCAGGGACTATCTGTATACTAGCAACAAAAAAGTATGCCTTAGAAAAGTGGTTTTCAGAAATTCTGCATCCCACAATAAGAAACTTATTTTTCATTGCATATCTATAACAAAGATGTTCAAATGTTTTGTTCTGAAATAAGGGGTTTCACGAAAACACATGTGAAGCGTTCTATACAATACTATTTCATATTTTCAAGTGCTAATCAAGACACACTAGGTTGATTTCATAGACCCACGAGTAAGTGACCACAGCAATATGCTAGAAGGTAGTTTCTAGGAATTACACCTACTCCTCACTTATCTACCATGTTATTATCTGACATTTCACACTTACAGCAATAGTAAAAACTCCACTATTTGACTATTTTGCACATTAACATACATCTGGCAGTAAGAAACATCAAGATGCAAGGCAAAAGGAATGGTGGCTGTAATGGTTAAAGTTATGTGTCAACTTGGCTGGGCCATGATTATCAGTGGTTTGGCAGTTATGTAATGATGTAATTAATCTTCTGTAACTATTCACAGCCTCAGAAACCCAATGGGGGTCACTATGAGTCCCAATCGACTCAATGGCACTTTTTTTTTTTTTTGGATGATATAATTTAGTAGTTACTTAATGGTGTATGCATCCTGCATTTTCTGATCTAATGTGGTCATCCTACATTTTCACATAACACTGATTTTTGTGTAACGACTTGGTCTTTGGAACCTAACAATGTTGAAAAGTGAGAAGCAGGTATAATAGCATCTCAAGCTAAGGACCAGTCTGTTACTTAGCAATTATCTCCAAACTACTTTCTGTACATGGTGCAGACCATATGAAACTCAGACGAACTTAAAATGTTGTCTATGTAATTTCAAGGAGCTCTGGTAGCATAGTGGCTAAAGCACTTGACTGCTAACCAGAAGGCTGGTGGTTCAAACCCACCAGCCACTCCTCGGAAGGAAGGTTGGGCAATCCTACTTCCGTAGTGATACTGCCTCGGAAACCCAAGGAGGGGTCGCTATGAGTCGGGGCCGACTCGACGGCAAACAACAACAACAACAACATGTAATTTCAAGATAATGTTTACTGATATAGGCTATAGCCTTCCTCTCACCCTAAAATGTAGCTAAAATACTGACCCTGATGAGTCCCTCAGTTGAAGTCTTCAACTGTCAGCTATTTTCTACCCCTACACTATCCAATAGGGAGCTCTGGTAGCATAGTGGCTAAGGCACTTGACTGCTAACCAGAAGGCTGGTGGTTCAAACCCACCAGCCACTCCTCGGAAGGAAGGTTGGGCAATCCTACTTCCGTAGTGATACTGCCTCGGAAACCCAAGGAGGGGTCGCTATGAGTCGGGGCCGACTCAACGGCAAAACAACAACAACAACAACACTATCCAATATGGTAGCCACTAACCACAGGTGTCTATTGAGCCCTTGTAACATGAACAGTGCAACTCAGGAATTTTCAAAATTTTATTTAATTTTGATTAATTTAAAATAGATATCCAGTTCAGTTATTTAAAACTCTGTATGCTTAGAACACTTTGAATATATGCATCTCTATTTCCAACTGTAAATAATTCTATGAAAACTAAATACAGCTCAAGTATTTCCAATTTAATATCCAAATTGAGGTGACTTGGTATGAGTAAAAGAATATAAAATATCTCATTACTAATTTTAAGTATTTATTACATGTTAAAATATTAAAATTTGGAGTATGCTGGGTTAAATAGATTATCATTAAAATTAATTTCACCTTTTGGAAAACTTTTTTAGAAAACAAAATTACACATGTGGCTCAAAATTGCCCATGCTGCTCTAGAAGATAGTGCCTTAAAAGTATCACAGTAGCCAAAGTCACAGCTCAAGGTCAATCACTCTATTCCATATTCTTTCTGTTATGCTGTAGGCATTTCCTGGCTACAGACATGATTATTACTGTAATTAAATAATGTAAATACTCACTGAAGGACATATATACTATATTGTTTTAAACTTAAATTTGGCTGTACTTGTTTATTTCCTTTTTTCAGAAGGTAAATTCCAATATCATGCTGTCCCTTTATTTTGGTACTACTCCATATTCAAAATATTCCTGGTAGTTCATAAATGTTGAATAGTGATTAATTTTATTTTCTACGTAATAGTACAGCGAAAAGTAAACCAGATTTTTAAAATACTTAATAAGAGTAAAG